GACTTTTGTGCCGTGCTGTGGGTTTGGTGGCAGTCTGCTGTCTATGGCAGGGATCCCAACTGGGGACGACTGGCCTGCGCTGCTGGATATGCTGGCATCGCATTTGATCCGAATGATCTGAAGATCTCTCTAGGAACATTCCTTCTCATGGAGGCCGGCCAACCGCAAAGCTTCGATCGGTGAGTGGAGACTCGACGAGAGTGGGCAGTTTTGAGCCCAAAAGACATCGTAAAAAAAAAAACACAAAAAAGAAGAAAGGAAGAAAGAGTAGTGGTGGAGGGTCAACGGTGTGCTGAAAGAAAAAGAGCTGACAGGGGGCGGGGGATAGGAAGAGCAGACCCTGCTAGGACTTTTTTTCTTGACCGAATTGGCCTTAATTGCAATCAGATACGTTCAGGAAAGTGCGCATAAGTTTGAGAGCATATGCTGCCCTGAGTTCACCGCATGATTGTCGGACTGCAGAGAAACACAAGAGTTGAGACTCTTGAGACTCTTGAGAGTGGTTGAGTGCAGGCGTACTCACACTTGCGTTTCCTTGACCGACTTTCTTGACCCCATTTTTTTGGCCTTAAATGAAGTTAAATAACCAGTACATGGGCACCTGGGCGGCGGGCCTGACACCTCGAAATCTCGAAGCGCGAAACGAAAATGCGACCGCCGATCCAATTTATCAACGGCGGGCCTGTGTGTTGGGCTCAGCACATATGCCTGTGTGTGGCTTAGCTGTTGAGTTAATCTGTGGTCAATCTGTGGTCAATCTGTGGTCAATCTGTGGTCAATCTGTGGTCAATCTGTGGTCAAATGACGGTTAGTATGCACTCAATCTGTCGTCGATCTGTGGTATGTGGTTAATCTGTCGTCAATCTGTGGTATGTGGTTAATCTGTCGTCAATCTGTCATCAATAGGTGGTTAATCTGTCGTCAATCTATGGTCAACCTATGGTCAATCTGTGGCTAACCGATGGCTAATGTGCGCTTAATCTGTGGTTAATCTGTGGTCAACTTACGGTCAATGTGTGGTCAAT